ATATATAATTTTGGATATGTAAGTGTATGCTGGTGTGTGCAAATGTATTTGTGGACACTCTCACGTGCTTGCATGTGGGAGTCTGTGTATAAGCATCAGTGTATGTGGATGAGTGAGTGTATTTGTGGATGTACTGTGTGTGTGTGTGTGTGTGTGTGTGTGTGTATGTGTGTGTGTTTGTGTGTGTGTGTATACAGTCACAGCTGAGACTGTCTGTCTCCTCCTCAACACTGTTCCACCTTAAGCACTGGCTGCCCTGTTTGTGCTGAAGCTAACAGGCTAACACGTTGCATTACTGTGTGGGGCTGCTTGCTGAAGCCTGCTGTTCTCTCTTTCTCTCTGGCACTGTCTGCTTTTTTATTCCCTCCTTCGTTTTTCTTCACTTTATTCAGGAAAACCCCCAAATTGTGCTCCTCTGCATTAGACTCCCTCTGAGCTTAGGGTAGTGTGAATGCAGAGTGGAGGGAGGAGTGAAGGAGGAGGGGTTTGTTTGTGAGTTTGCATCATGGAGTGCATGTTTTCGTTTATTTCCCTCAGACAGGTAGAAGAAGGGCAAGGAGGGGTGCTGGTACTGTGAGGGGTCATGTCATGTGGGGAATGCTGAGCCTAATTTTTCACAGGACCTTTTTATGCTTTTTTTTTTTCTCTCTGTCTCTGTTGTCTGCTTCATATTGACCATTATTTTGAGGAGTTACCCCGGTCAGTAGTCAGACTGAAAAGCGTGGTAGAGAAAACTAAACAAACATGGGGGGTCTTGATTTTGGGAACAGATGCCCTCCTGATCCCTCCCCCGCCCACTGCCCCGGCACAGCCTTGCCCAGTGTTGGCAGTGAGCGGGGTGCTGCCGAAAGGCGGAGGAGACGAACGGTCCATGCAGATCATTAATTGTGTGGTCGATCCTCTCTTACCCTCCAGCTGGCCCACATTTAAGTGCAGACATGCAGTATCCTGTGCCTAACTGCCTTTCTGAGCTGTCTTCACTTGTAGTTCTTAATCAGATATTCTTTAAATCAGGGTGAGAGAAAGGGGAAATCACTTTGGAACAGGGAGCTCAATGATTTATGGACAGATATGGCAGTTATGGAATGCTTTGTGTTCTTTTTTTATGGGGGGGGGGGGGTTGTTCCCTTTTCTCTCCTTCCAGACTCAGCCAAAATGTTTATTCCACCACTGTTTCCACTGATGGCACTGCAGACCTCCGGCCATGGCCAGCCTCATACTCGCTATCAGGCACTCAATGTCTGATTGCTTCGCTGGTGAGCAGAAAAATGAAAAGAGCAGAAGAGAAAATGTTTACTGCACTACTGGAAATGTACATATGCATGCTTTACTCATTTTCAAAAGGCTTACGATGGTGTCAGCGGAGGTTTTTGTTCCCAGTCCCGGGACACAAACGGAGACGCTAGGAATAACAGGGCCTCAGGGACTAAAACGAGGGGCACAGATTTCTGGCTCCTCCTTCCCCAGTTGGAGGGCGGGCAGTGCGGGGTAAAGAGGGTTGTGCGCACCACCAGGGACACCTTCCCTGCCAGGACCATGTACCCACAGGGACACCATCCAGTGAGTGCCGCCTCTCTCTCTCTCTCTCTCTCTCTTGTCTGTTTCATATCGAGCGTTATTTTGAGTTACCCTGGTCAGTAGTCAGACTTAAAAGCGTGGTAGAGAAGACATGCAGTATCCTGTGCCTAACTGTGCCTTTCTGACCTGTCTTCACTTGTTGTTCTTATTCAGATATTCTTCAAATAAGGGTGAGAGAAAGGGGAAATCACTTTGGAACAGGGAGCCCTGTTCCTCCCCGACGTCTGACATCATCCTCTGCGGCCCGCCTGGAGGTGGAGGATAATCGACACCATCCAGCAGGTGCCGTGGGAGACGAGGAGCATGGAGGTCTACCGACAGCAGAACGTAGATCCGGTCACTCTCTGGAGGAGGATTCGCAACCTCCACCGAGACGGCGTGTTGGTGGACTTTCATAAAAGCACGAGACTGGCAAGAGGACCACTGGAAACATGTGTGCACACACACATGTGTGCATGTGTTATCAAGAGAGCACGCATGTATATGAGTGAATGTGTATAAGTGCTTTTTGTGCTATTAAAAGTGATTGTTGGTTTTTTTTCTGTCAGATGTGCTGTTTAAGTACGAATAAATGGACAGTGGCCCAGTCCCGAGCTTGCCAGTCAAGGCCGAACGAGATTCCAAAGGGCGTGGGAGATTACCGGAGGGGGTGGGGCCCCGGAGGACGTGGGGCCAGGGAGGCCCCAGAGGGGGTGGGGCCCTGGAGGGGGGTCTCATTCTCTGCCTTTTTTAACACAGTTCATTTAAATAGCTGGATTAGGGTGTGGGCCAGTCAGAGGAGGTGGATGGAGGGCTGTGTGTGTGTATATATGTGTTTGAGTATGTACAATTAGTATTTCAACATTCTATGTACATGTATTTGTATGAGTGCTCAACAGTTCTCAGATATCATTCCTTTGGCATTTTGTCTGAATACCGTATTTGAAAATGTGGTTGGAATGAGTCTATTAGATGAGAGCTAATTGTATGTGGCGAGCAATGTGCATGTCTGCACACTGTGTGTTCATTTAACTCCCATGTTCTCCCAAATGCCTGTGCCTGTGTGTGATCATACAAGTGTGTGAGAGACGAATTGTCTGCACCCTCTTAGGTGGGTTTGTTGATCTTGGTCATTGATGTCTTGATTCCAGTGAAATGTGTTTTCTAAATATCCCATTTGGGAAAGAGAGACAATTCATGAGGTCTGCAATCATGTACATTTATTCTCAATATGAAAGTACAAACATTGAAACTTGTTTGGCAAGACACAGATCTCTCACAATTCAGATTGAAGGGACTCAGGCAGGACTTGCATGCCTTTGCTGTGTACTCGGTCAGCCCCTCAGAAGTAAATACATTTGATGGAATGAGTAATTAGTTGCCCCTAATCATTTTTACTTTTTTTTGCAGTCACTGGTCCTCCACCTCACATGCAGATGAAGAGCACCTTAATTGAAAAATCCACAGCAATCAAACCATAAAAAGGAAAGTAGTTCTAAAAATTGGAACTAATGATGGGGGTTAAGCTGAATGAAGAGTTTGCACAGGTGAGAAACCAATGACTTTGCTTGTCAGTTGAAGGGGACTTTTCATTAAGACAATTGTATCATGGGGGGGGGGGGGGGGCTAAGAGTTTTGAGAGGATTTAGAATTGCAACTTAAAAACAAACAAACTGCACATCATTCGGTTTCAGATGCATAGTGTTAAACCTTTAATATACTTTGATCATTGCCTGAAAAGGGGACATGTAAGCCATGTTGGAGATGTGGCCACCCATGTGGGACACTTGTTGAATGGGATTTTAAGTAGGAATTCAAATGTTAAAGGTGAATCAAACCTTTTCAGCTGCAGCAGCCAGGAAAAGGGCCTGGCAGCCTGAGACTCACTACCTCTTTAGTGCCAATGTAGGGTAAGAAGCAAGTGACATGGTGTGCTATGGTGAGCTGTGTGAATCCAGTGAAGAATGTGCTCTTCCTCTTTACCCAGTACCATGGTTTCAGATCCAGTGTGGCCATCTTGGAGCAGCGGCAAGTTCTGGTTTGGTATTCCGATGGCTCCTTTGTGTCCAGCTGAGAAAAGGCAAAGCCAAAAATTAACCAAACAGCATCTCGGAAGATTAATGGTCATCTAGGAAGCACATGCCCAGAGCTCCCCTGGTTCAGTCATGTTCTACGAAAGTCAGAGCATGGCAACCTGAAGACAAGGTAAGGCCAGGTTATTAAACCGCTTGTGTTGAGTGTAACCTCATTAGGAAGCAGTCAAGAACGTACTTCTCCTCTGTACCCCAGTATCATGTTTCAGATCCTGTGTGGCCATCTTGGAGCAGCAGCTTTGGTATGGTTTGGTATTCTGATGGCTCCTTTGTGTCCAACTGAGGGGAACAAAAGGAAATGAAAACAAAGTTTAGCCAAACCACATCTCAGTGTGAGAATAAAATTGCCATTTCAATAGTGATTCTTGTCAGCTCACCATACTCACCTTCCCAAACAGCACAGACTGGGGCACGCTCAAACCTGGTATTCCCCCTAATCAGACCTTATATAGACTCAGCAGTTAAACGAGGTCCAGGTGTTGAGGTAGCCCATGTGATCGTGTAGTGGGTTTGCATGTCTTGGTACCTCTGTGGTTGAACCAGTATTGTCAGGAGCTCTGTGGAGTAGTGGTCTAAGGCATGAGGTCCTTACCTGGAGGTAACAGGTTCAAGGCTTCCTTTCTCCTTTTTTATGGTCTTCAGCTGTAAAGTAAATGTCAAGCCCCCTATGAGAAAGGTGAGCAAATGTGACGGTTCCTGTGGCGCTGGAGGATAGTCCGCCCTTCACACAGATGAAGGTGTTGGTCTCGAATCTGCGCAGGGGGCCTGAGCAACTACCTCGAAAGAGGAACGAGGATGGGGGGGAACTCATACCCCCCCGAAGTTTCTGAGAGGTGAAAGGGGGGGGTTATGCAGCTGTGAGCCAGAGCCGGCTGAAATTTTACATCACGTGACGGATGCGTCCATTTTGATTACAAGGAACTTAACTTATTTAGACAGTTAAATACGAGGAACTAACTAGCAAAAAAGGGGTGTGGTCAGTTTTGGCCACACCCCCCTAACCCCTCCCCTCCTATCTCATTCTTCCCTCCCTCCTTCTCTCTCTCCCTCCCACTTTTTCTTTCTGTCTCTCTCACCCTCCCTCTCTCTGTCTGTCTTCCTCATCCTTCCTTCCTCCCTCTCTCTCCCTCCCTCCCACTCTTTCTATCTCACCCTCCCTCTCTCTGTCTTCCTCATCCTACCTTCCTCCCTCTCTCACATTATTCCCTTACCTCCACCCTTCTATTCTAATTTGTTGACTGTCACTGTCTGACCTCTTCCTATTCTGCCCCTCCACTTTCTAAGTGTCAACGCCCCCTGTTGATACAACTTTATGTTGTAAAACTATGTTGTAAAATTGTAAACGTTTGGTACTCCTGGGAATCGAACCCAGGCCGCCTAGATTATAGCGCAACGCACTACCTCTACACCACCGGAGGTTGTTGGAAGTTTGTCGGAGGCACATTTATTACAACGTGACTGTTTTTTTCAAAACCCATGTAAAGAAAGGGCTGTAGGCGGGCACCTGACAAAGCCAATGAAAAGACAAGAAGTAAGGGAGCCTCGAACCTGCACCCCTCACACTGGAAGGCAAGGAAACTGCATCGGCGCCACAGGTCCTTGTAACTGAGGTTGAAAGTAATAAGTAGACAATCACACCAACAGGAATCCTGCCAGCCATCTTCACCATTGCCCTTCGTTGGTGTTTGTGCCCTCCCAACACCTGAGACATCATGACTCTCCCTCTTCTACATATCACAGACTTCAATACCCGCGCGCCAGCAAACTACGCCGTGAGAAAGTATAATATTGTCATAGCATTACAAAGCCATCCTTGTGGTTGCTCCTCACATATGTTTGTCTCATCCACGGTTGTTGCGGGTATTGCTGCAGACATGCAAAGAATTATGGGATACGGAAACTCGTTATGACTACCGTGTCTCCCTCTGGTGGCTATTATGTGTACTGCAGGTTTGGTGTCTCCCTCTGCTGGTTAATATTTATATGGCAGGTCTCGTGTCTCCCTCTGCTGGCTGTTATGTGTACTGCAGGTTTGGTGTCTCCCTCTGCTGGTTAATATTTATATTGCAGGTCTCGTGTCTCCCTCTGCTGGTTAATATTTATATTGCAGGTCTCGTGTCTCCCTCCGCTGGCTGTTATGTGTACTGCGGGTCTCGTGTCTCCCTCTGCTGGTTGTTATGTGTACTGCAGGTTTGGTGTCTCCCTCTGCTGGCTGTTATGTGTACTGCAGGTTTGGTGTCTCCCTCTGCTGGTTAATATTTATATTGCAGGTCTCGTGTCTCCCTCTGCTGGCTGTTATGTGTACTGCAGGTCTCATGTCTCCCTCTGCTGGTTAATATTTATATTGCAGGTCTCGTGTCTCCCTCTGCTGGCTGTTATGTGTACTGCAGGTTTTGTGTCTCCCTCTGCTGGCTATTATGTGTACTGCAGGTTTGGTGTCTCCCTCTGCTGGTTAATATTTATATTGCAGGTCTCGTGTCTCCCTCTGCTGGCTATTATGTGTACTGCAGGTTTGGTGTCTCCCTCTGCTGGCTATTATGTGTACTGCAGGTTTGGTGTCTCCCTCTGCTGGTTAATATTTATATTGCAGGTCTCGTGTCTCCCTCTGCTGGCTGTTATGTGTACTGCAGGTTTGGTGTCTCCCTCTGCTGGCTGTTATGTGTACTGCAGGTCTCGTGTCTCCCTCTGCTGGCTATTATGTGTACTGCAGGTTTGGTGTCTCCCTCTGCTGGTTAATATTTATATTGCAGGTCTCGTGTCTCCCTCTGCTGGCTGTTATGTGTACTGCAGGTTTCGTGTCTCCCTCTGCTGGCTATTATGTGTACTGCAGGTTTGGTGTCTCCCTCTGCTGGTTATTTATATTGCAGGTCTCGTGTCTCCCTCTGCTGGCTATTATGTGTACTGCAGGTTTCGTGTCTCCCTCTGCTGGCTATTATGTGTACTGCAGGTTTGGTGTCTCCCTCTGCTGGTTAATATTTATATTGCAGGTCTCGTGTCTCCCTCTGCTGGCTGTTATGTGTACTGCAGGTTCGGTGTCTCCCTCTGCTGGTTAATATTTATATTGCAGGTCTCGTGTCTTCCTCTGCTGGCTATTGTGTGTACTGCAGGTTTGGTGTCTCCCTCTGCTGGTTAATATTTATATTGCAGGTCTCGTGTCTACCTCTGTTGGCTGTTATGTGTATTGCAGGTTTCGTGTCTCCCTCTGCTGGTTAATATTCATATTGCAGGTCTCCTGTCTCCGTCTGCTGGTTAATATTCATATTGCAGGTCTCGTGTCTCCCTCTGCTGGCTGCTATGTGTACTGCAGTTTGCAGGTGTTGTGTCTCCCTTGGCTGGCTGCATCTGGTTTCTGTATAGATTTTTTACACTTTTGGAGGTAAGACTATAGTCTTATGTCTTTTTTGGATTTTCAGCACAACACATATAGCTCTTTTACTCACTTTCAAATCATTTGTAACAACTTTTCCTCCCGTGGGTGGATAGTACAGCTCATTTACGATCATTCAATGTAAAAAAAATCTAATATTTTTCTGTCAACCCATTTTTCACTTTTGGAGGTAAGACTATAGTCATATCTTTTTTGGATTTTCAGCACCACACATATGTCTCTTTTACTCACCTTCTGATCATTTCTAACAACTTTTTCTCATGTGGGTGGATAGTACAGCTCATTTACTATCATTTAATATTTTTCACTTTTGGAGGTAAGACTATAGTCTTTTGTCTTTTTTGGACAGGTGCTGCATATCTGCTCCACACAGGGTTATGAAAGCAGAGGGATAATATTTGAGTGCTTAATTGAGTCTCCCTTACAAATCAGGGCCTCTTCTCCCTCACAGGTACTTTGTATTTTCTTTTTTATTTTTTGCAGTGGGGCTGGGGTTAGCTGTGCCCCCTGGTTAACTCCTACTCAGCTGGCATCTCTTGGGTTTTCTTGCCTCGGGCAGACCCCCGCCCTTGCGCCAAACAGGGTCGGAATGTTGAGGAGCCCGGGAAAGGGGAGGCGATGTGCGGACCTTCAGCTTTTGAGGAGAAGTCGTTCGGAATGTCAATGCACAGGGAGGGCAGGAGAGGGCAGGTGCGGAGCTGGAGAAGAAGCCTGAAAATCCTTCTGGATTAGTTGGCCCTGATCCTCAGCAAGGAGTGGGGATGGGCTTAGAAAGGAGGGCACTGCCCTCCCTCTACCCACCCACCCACACTACCCCCCTCTCCACCCATCCACTCACACTACCCCCCCTCCAAGGCAAAATTATGTTGAAATGTAAGACTCTTGTGTCACATTGTTTTACATAATATTTATTGGGAAAGCATCCATGCACGCACCGTAGAACTGATCCACAAGCTGCGAGAAAAAACAGAAATACAAAGAGAGACCATCAAAGTCAGCTTCCAAGTCCTTATTAAGCAGAGCTTTAACTATCTGTGAAAAGAAAGGAACCCACATTACACACACACTATCCCTACACAAAAAAGAATGCACACTGTCACACCACACAAAACCCAAAAACCGACACACGTCTGGCACCTGCTTCCGTTTCAGCTTGCTCTTCCTCTGCCTCACTGATTCTTAGGTAATTCTTCAGGGGAGCAATCAGGGCGTACACCAGTACTTGGGTGCCATTGTCCCTGACCAATGAAACAGCACAGGGGTTAGTAGGCCTGCGTCAGAGCCACACCCCCAACATGCCCATGACATTTCAGCTAACAACTTTGTCCGATAATGCTACAATGACATTGTTATGCAAACCTGGCTATGTAGCGATGTAGCAGCTATTTATCAGAGACGGAGTGAGGGACATACCGTTGTGTCCTCATATATGACTTTTCCCCATTGAGAATTCCCATCACCATGTGTACGTAGGCCGGGCACCGCCACCAAATAATGACAGCCAATGTCGAATGCACAGGCCTGAGAAAAGACATAATTCACACTGACCCCATTATGAACAGCAATAAGAGCAAATTATGGCAGGTTCCCCATTCAGTCACTGTGCTTTGAGTGGCAGACTCAGTGGTGTCAGCAGTGAACAAGAATTCTCACCAGTTTATGTGAGGCAGGGCACTTATAAAAGACCACTTGTGTGCATGGATGCTTCCTGAATCATTACTCGGCCTCCACGGAGACGCAGCAGCAGCAGCAGCAGCTGCGTCTCACGGCCTTCCACAGGCGGCTGAAGAACCGCCGAACACCCCTCTTCTTCTTTTTCTCCTCTGCAAAAGGCCAGACAGAGACTTCTTTTCACACTGGTATTGCTGATATCCATGTGTTGTGACACACTCAAAGGTTATAAATGTTTACAGCACACTTCCAACAGTGTCCACAAGAGGGCAGAAAGAGCGACTCACTCTGTAAGCCTGACAGCTGGTTGTCTCCATGTGCATCGCCTGGTGTGATCACTGATTCCTCAATTGCAAACTGCAATCACACATGGCACAAGACATGTATAAAACACTGCCTTTCTGGAAAACATGTCTGTGGTTCCCAATACTCATTCGTATAGTCGTAATACTTATCATCAACGTTAGCTCTGTTCAGAGTGGAAAACTCACAGCCATCAGGGTCTGTCAATTTAGTGTGGCATCATAAACGAGTGAAAGCATAGCCTCTGTTAGTGTAGGCTCCTTTGACTGTGTTTGACCAGGCACATGGTGCATAGTGCAGTACATACTGTATCCCAAATCCCCATCAGCTTCTCATCCTGCAAGAGGTCCATCTGGATGAAGGGTGCAGCAACATCCACCAGCACGGTTTCCACTTGTTCAGCTTCAGCTGCAGCATCTGCTGCTGTTTCCATCTGGATGGAGGGTGCAGCAACATCCACCAGCATGGTCTCCACTTCTTCGGCTTCTCCGGCAGCATCCACTGCTGTTTCCAGGCTGGAGCCTGGTGTGGCGTCAGGCTGTGCAAGCACGCTGTTCACTGCGGCAGTGACAGAGGTGATAATCGCCGCGGTGACGGCGTGGCTCTCAGCATCCCACTTCCCCCTCAGAGCCCTCTGCAGATCCTTTGGGGAGACAGTTTCCAGCAGCTCCCCACACAGCGCTCCCACCAGTCTGGGCCGGACCTGGCGCCAGCACTGCACTTCACACTGCTCAACGCCTTCCAGCTCCTGCAGCATCGACACGGTCACGGCCACCGCCATGTCACTCAGCAGCCGGCCGGACAGCTCCTCCCCACCCTCCAGCAGCGCACAGGACAGGTCGGCAAACGTGTCCATCACCACCTCGGCCACAGTTTGCAGGGGAGATGTGGGCGGCTGGGCCAGCTCCTCAATAATTTCTCTGACTGCCCTCTCAACCACAGGCTGCGGGTCGAAGTAGAACCTGGAGAATGTGACGGGAGCAGTAACCGCTGGCGGGCATGCCCCGTACAGAGGAACACATCAGATAGTTCATAGGGGTGGTGAAATTTCGCAAT